GATCATGTCTGTTTTTTTTTAACGATATGACCCTCTCACTTTGAGCTGGTTTACTAAGGAATCACCACAAAAGGTTAAAAAGTTTTGTCACCATTATCACCTTTTTCTGCAACCCAGATCCCTACATTTCAAGAGGTCACTGACGTATGTTCCATTAAGCTACTCATAAATTATTCAAGAATTAAATCAGCTGGTGGCTATGAACAGACTGACATGATGCATTCTTCAGTTTGGCCCTTTTTTTCTACAGAAGCTCCAAGTGTTCCAAACTCATCCAATAAAGAACTTTAAGCAGAAATTTGAAAACGACCTGAAGCTCCATCAGTAAGATTTCTAAAGTGAATGACAGCACTACAGCCCTCCTCCCTCACCACTGTGACTAAAGGCCAGGCCTACGCTGCTGGCCGCGTGGTCTTTTGCTCCCACACTCCCATCCCTGGCTCCCCGCCGCATCTCCTCAGCTCCTCATGTGCGACCCCATGCTCAGCAGGGCATTAGGTGCTAGCTTTCCTGATTCAACCCCTGCCTATTCCGCCAGTCCCACCTCAACTCACAGGACTGACTGAGGTTCTCAGGAAGGAACTCGCATCCCTCCAGTCACTCCAGTACCAGTCCGTCCCTTGTTCCCTACACTCAGCTCTCCATAGGCCTCACCATGGCTCCGTGTTCCCATCAGCATCTCAGCAAGTACCGCGCACCTAGCCCTCCCCAGGGATTTCACACGCCTCTCGCCCACTCTTATAGTAAGTCAGATATCTTGATATATACGTATCTCACCCCATGTTGTTAGGTGGCTTTTTAAGAATCGAGCTCCCCCACCAGACTTGGCGCTTTCTGTGTTCGCAGCCCCTCCGAAGCATTGTTCTGCCTGCTGATGCTGATGGCTCTGAGGGCCGCAAGGAGCTAGAGAATGCAGGGGAAAGAGCTCTTCCCCGGGAGCCGGGTAGGGACAGCATCTGGAAAGCTTTCAGGAGGGAACGTGAGCTGGGGTTTGACGACAGGAGGGACTCACCATGGCGACAGGTGCAGGAACTTTTACTAAGAGCGCCAAGCAAGGCAGAAAGCAACGCAAGGTGTAAAAGACCAGGGCGTCCATGGAGATCGAGGCCTCAGAGCACAAAGTAGTTGCTCACACATAAGGCACTTGTCAGCCCGAAAAGCCTATCTGCACAGACTCAGATTTCCACCCATAACTGAGTACAATCGAGGATTGTAAGCCATCGATGACACCATCACCATCGGATTACATTAACGTGTTTTCAAGCACGTAAATTGGCTTTTTTGTCTTTTAACTAAGAGTTAAGATCTGTGATATGCAATAAGGTCAGAAGAAAAACCAGCAGAATATATTCATGTCTCCAACCATCTTTCCTAAAAACTGTAGTCCATATGTTAAGATCCCATCTCGTTCATGAGCTTTTATTCCTTTTACATAAAAATATGTATCCCTTATAGAGTTCTGGAGCTGAAGTGGACAGGATGCTGCAGACACCACTGCCGAGTCACATGCTGTGGAACACACGCTCTTCACCATCTTGGACAGAACAGTCCAGCAGAACAAATGACATGGGCCCACAAAGGGCCACGTGCAGGGCGCTGTGACGTGGACCTACGCACGCATTACAACAGAACGCAGGAAGGGGACAGGTTCTTCTGTGAAAGTCGGGATGGCCCAGCAGAGGAAATGGCATTTGAGTCAGGACGTGACTGAATCAGGAGGGAACACAAACTTAAAACATGAACACTGTCATCTATTGCTAACAATGGTTCACTTTCAGTCAAATATTTGCCTGGGTTTAGAGTGAGAGTGACCGAAAATAGAAAAGGTCAACCCAAAGGGGGAAAGATGGATTAGCCTCTCTCCACTGTGGCCAGCACAGCACACTAGAAGGAATTCTTTGGAAGGAATTAAGACTTAGGTTCTGTTTCAGCCACAGCGGGACATGGTATTTCACCTGTCCTGCGTCCTCCTTCTGTTTGAAGTCGATCCTTTGTAGAGGTCACTGGGGCGATGGTCAAGGCTGAATGCTGGTGATGAGAAGGAAGGGAGGCAGGAAAGAAGGGAGAGAGGGCAGGAGGACGAAAGGCAGGCAGGCGGGCTTGAGGGGGACAGGAAGAAAGATGCTGGGTGACACCCCCATCCTCAGCCCATCCCCACACACCAACCTTTCGAAGTCTCACAAGCACATCAAACCTGACACAGTTCGTCTGACTATCCCGCGTTCTTTATCTCCCCACAGAACGAGCTGGAAGCTGGGGCGTCCTCCTTGGTCCCCTCTTCTCTACTCTCCACAAGCTTCCTTGCCACAAGAGCCATCTTGTGGAAAGTGACTCAGGATCCGGTCCCAAGCTGAGCCTCTGTGTTCTCTCATTTGAGCCTCACTAAAGTCCTCTGAGATAACACCCTCTCTCACCAAAAAAGAAGCTGTGACTCAAAAAAGTGAAGTTTCCCAAACACAATTTCTCATGGCAGTTAGGCCTGTGCCACCCACCAGCACCCTAATGCTGTGTGGTGCTCTGCCCTTTCCTTTTAATATCAATCCCTCTCCTTTCCGTTCCCACCACCACTTAAAATCAAGCCTGAGTTTTCACCAGGTCGACTGTAGCAGCCTTTAGTCCTGAGCCTCAAAGAGCTGCGCTCCAGCCTGCCAGAGCGGAAGCTCTGGGACTGGCTCCAGACTTCAAATGCTGCAGGTTCCAGGCGGCTGCTTTAAGGAAGTAAGTCCAATGGGAAATGACCACTCGCTTCTTCCTCGGATGAGGACAGCAGCTGTCGAGAAGCCTCTGCCCTAGGTTATCTGTAAGGATGCAGAGCCATGGCCTGCTGAACAGTCTGATACTCACATTTCCCATGTAATGCTGGTGACTATTTCCAAATAACATTAAAATAGTCTGAGCAACACTAGATTTCCCTGCATGCTAGACCCAGCCCAGGTACACAGCTTCTATCTTCTGAAACACAATGGAATTTCCCTGCTACAATCTTTACAGTGTCCCTTAGCAACTGCAGAGGCTGATCTCATTCCGATGCCAAAGGCATCCACACTTGAGCCAATTCCTACTTCTGCTGCTGCATCTCTCTTTTCAAATGTTCACACCTGGGCTGCTTTGAGGGGCTTATGTTTCCTATAGTGTCCTCATTGCAGAGCCTAAGAGTCCCATGCTTTTTTCGTTCTTCCCAGGGTGACCCTCCCCTGACCTCCTTACCCTCACAACTCCTCACTCCTGGGCTGGGATGTGCTCGCACGGTGGCAAAGCACACATACTTTCCTTCCAGGGCCCCTGTGACCCTCAGGCCTTCAGGGAGGACAGTGAGCAACACGAATGCCAGACCCTGCTTTTCCAGGATGCTGTCTGCAGTGGTGAGCGTGGGACCAGCCCCCAACAGCAGCCAGTGCCCATGGCCCGAAGGCATGGATCCACTGAGCACACAGCTATGTGCAGTCCTCCCCAGCAGGAAGAGAGACTCCTCTCCTGAGTGCCCTCCTCTCTCTACCCCATCTCCTAGCTTAGAATCACAGGAGGAAGAAAAGCTGATCCTCTTAGGAAACTGACTTCCTCGACAGTGCATGTTTCCTCTCCATTTGTATCTTCCCAGCACCTAACTCAGCTCCTAGCTCGAGTGAGCCCTCAAGTATTTCTCAGATAAGTCCCAGAACTCTATACACGCTAAGGTTCCACAAGTCCATTCGAGTTCCTTCTCATTCTTTGTCAAGTGCAAACACTGCGAAAGAATCAAAACTGCTCCCACTCTGAGATTTGTGGATGGATATTATTAGAGAAATGGGAAAGAAACAGTGCGGAAACACAGCTCTCCAATGAAGGCTTTTATTGTAGACATTAATAACTAGAGAGACTTTCTACTCCCAACTGAGTTAGTTCCAATACATAGCCACGACGAACAGAACACACTGACAAAGGTGTTACACCACACGTCCTATGATGGAGCCCAGTAAACATGGCTTGGAGTTCTTCACTTGTTCTACATATTGACCGCATACCAATGATTGCAGCATTGATCAATAACCATTCTACTGGTGGCTAGCAATAATCTTGCAAAGTAGGTTTAAAGATTAGAAAAGCATCCCTCTAAAAAATTAAACAAAGTATTTATTTTCTCGTAGCTGATCATTCAGAGGAATAGGTCCAAATCCGTGTTTGTCAGTGACAAATCGGACTCTACTCTTTGATGTCGCCTCCCTAACCTCAGCCGTTCAATCCTGTAACTGCTACTTACCATAATATATATGTGCTTTGGTTTTTTAATTCTCCCTGAACAAAGAAGCACTTAACTTTTATTTCTGGAAATATCAATTTTGTTCTCAAATGTTTTTTGTTAAAAATTTTACCTTAAAAACATTTCCGATGGTATATGCAGTGTATTTCATCACTCAGTTGAAGGTACACTGCCTACATGGAACCAATTCCAATGAACATGAGAATTTTACCAAAATTTTCCACTAAAATGTTATAGGTTGATTTATTCACTGTCAACACATGTTGAACAATGAACACTTTGTGTGCCAAAACAACAGCATAAAGACCCACAAGGGCTATTAATTAAAACAGCTTGTATATTTTATACAACAAAATATTTCTTACCTGAAATTCCATGGAGAATTAATGAACATGAAACACAATTCCCTCAGGTTAATGATAAGCTGGTGTTAGTGATTTCATTGGGTGAATTTATTTGGTTCTTTAAGTATTAAAAATACAAACTGTGCTTTAGGTTAGAACGGAGGTCAATTCATGAGATTCATAAAACAAGAGAAATGAATTATAAAGTGAAAGGGAAAAGCTAAATGTAATGACTAAATTAAAATTAATTTAGTATAATTATAAACAGAAGGAGCTATTGTTAAGGAATAGTTTCCTCAGAAAGAACTCAAAAACATAACTACTGTTTTGTTCATAGCTTTATAAAGTTATTATTTAGAAGTTACGCCTTTCAGGACATAGATTAGCCAAAATTATTTCAAGAAATATGATCATCTAACCTTGAAGCTGGCACCTTATCCTGGCTATTCTCTGCCTTAAGACGTAGAAAGCTGCAAAACAAATGTCCAAAAAAAGAAATTCCAGATCTTTTCTCTGTAAGGAGGCTGGACTTGGGCATTTATCAACTTGTTACATTCCCGGAGACTTACACACATTCACCTTTCAGTGTTTCTCTGAAACAAAAAAAAAATCTAGGACATGTTTAAAATAGTAATATTATAGTCACCATTTTGCTATTAAAAAAAACATTTTGTAACAAAAATATTAACCAATAATTGAAGTTATGCTATTCTTCTACAGTCCAAATTCTAATGAAAATATTTCAGACCTTGTGTGACACTGTTATCTTCCAATCCAATTTTTCATTTTCAGAATATTAATATTTGGTTCTCAGAGACAGTATCCTTTTATTTAAATGAGTATTGTATCAAACATCTGAAAAAAAATTAAAACTTTTGATCAATTAGTAACAAAGGCTGGTAGTTTTTAAATTGATACATCTTTACTTACCCGTTTCACCAACTTTGGGGAGGAAATATTAACATACTTTCTTCCCTTTCACAGCATGTTCTTCTTGCATGGCTGCTTTGGTTGTCAATGGCAATACGGATGAACTGTGAAAGCTCAACCATTTCACTTGCAAGTGCATGAACAACCCTCTTAGACAGAAAGATAAGGGGAGACAATACTACTAACAGGCAGGCTTCCCCCGCCTAGCATCCTAGAGGTAAGGGAAGAGATGATCTGTATTACTTCTTTTGGATTAATGCCTTCCCTCTTTAAAGCATAAGACATCCATTTTAACATGCTTTTTCAATGTATTTGTCTTATTTAAAATTAGTGAATGAAGCCTTCTTTTGGGTAACAGCAGAAAAAATTTTAAATCAAATTTAACTAATTAAAGCAACAATTTAACCTCTGATCCAGAATTATTGCTTTGTATTTTTAAACAAACACAATACATTTGCGTGCTAGGGTTTTTGTTATTACCATTACAGAGGAGGTATATAACAAATTAGTATTCGGTTTTACTGTTGTTTTAAAGAATCCATCATTTCTTAGAATAATGAAACATCAAGTATAATCTAAGCAAACAGCTGAAAATAGTCAAAGCATAAATTAAATTCTGGATCACAACTTAAAGAAAACTATGACTTACTTATGCATGAGAAAGAAAAAATATAAAAGGATACCGTTTCTTCAGTATTTTTTAATTGCCAATTTTGAACAATGTAATTTATCAGAAAAATATTTTAAACAACATAAAACAAGTCAGTAAAGAATAGCAAACATCATTATTTTTCTAGCTGTATTAGTACCAACCAAACAATTCTGCATAGTTTATTTCTCTCTTCCAGTATCTTAAAATTGAGTCACTTTGTCCTACTTAACAAAAATTAACCTGGAGATATACAGGGTTAGTGAATTTGATGATGTAAACATATGTACTGTACCTGTTTAGACTTCTAGCATAAAATTTTAGCTAAGGTCCTATATTTTAAAATTTACATTTTAAAACTATACAAAACTGCATTTTAAATTAAAGAAATGTTAACCCTGGCACAGATGACTCCCAGGAAGTTTCTGAGGTTTATCGTTATTGACAGATGAGGAAATTTTCATAGGCAACCACCACTACTTTTTGTGAAGTTGCCCCAAAAAAGGCCTTTTATGCAATGCATGTGTGTGGGGGGTGGTTAGTTCACTGTGGGAAACCCTAAACAGGACTCATCAGTAGCACACAATGCAGAGTATTGGTCCCACTTCTCCTGAAGATGTTTCTCTGGTCTTTACAAAGTGGCCCTGCAGTAAACACAAGCACACTTTCCACACGCCTCGGTCAAGCTCACAGCTCTGCAGCTCTCTTCCTCGCAGCTCACACGAGGGTGCTGCTGCCGCTGCTCTGGGGCGGGGGGTGTCACAGCAGTAGCATGCACTCTACGTGGGCAAAGTAACTAAGCACTTTGATGACTGCATGAAGTTGTGACCCATACAAACCAGAGAAATTAAACTGATCAGAGATCATCTTTTTTTTTTTTTAAGAAAAGAGATGATCTTTTCTTGCCTGAGAAACACAGTTGTGCAGATTTGGAGACAATCCTAAACTTTGGAGAGTGTTAAAGAGAACAGCAAAAAGAAAGTCTCTAGCAAACCTTGTGCTTATCCAAAGGGACACCCACGTGCAGGTGTACTGTTCAGTTTACTGTGATGGGGTATGAAGTGCCCACAGGTTAGGGGAAGTCAGATCTCTGGAAAGGAAATAAAATGCTGTGGATGGAAATGGCTGCTGCAAGGACCACAGACTCAGCTGGGGGCATAGAGCCTCTAAGGTCAGCAGTGCCAGGGATGCTAGCACCTCCCTACATGTGACAACGCCAGGGACATGCAGGCAAGGGACAGGCCACCCTACCACATGCACTTCTACCCCCTTCTGTGGTCACTGGAAGAGAAAAGTAGTGACTTTAAAGAGTTCTCCTTCCCTGTCCTTCCATTTGATGGTTTTCACGGATGGTGTTTCTCTGACACTATTCACACACAACTGCCCCACTCGGTGCCCTTGCGACACCAGCATTCAGGATGACAGGCCCCAGGAACGTCATGTTAATTAAGGCAGAGCCTGGACGATCTCGGCAGGCAGTGCACTACTTTATAAATAGTAAAGATACAGAAGAATCCATCAGACCTCAATGCAAGATTAAAAAACATTCAGCAATTCTATACATTATTTCTTCAGGACTCTGTTTTTCTTCACCAAAAATAATTGTTTCAAAAACTATTTCTTCCCTAGTCAAGAACTATCAGAATGTCATAATCTTGGCCAGTCACCAACAGCAAGACACAATAAATACTATTTAATTTATCAATGAATTTAAAACTCAGTCCAAGCTGGGTAACATAGCACATGCCTATAATCTCAGCTACTTGGGAGGCTGAAACAGGAGGATTGCAAGTTCAAGGCCAGCCCAGGCAACTTGGTAAGAGCTTATCCCAAACAAAACCTCAATCTAAGGAAAGAAGGACCTCAAAAACATTATTATCTTTGGGAAATACCCTGAAAATATAATCATATGAACTTGGAACAATTTATCCAGTAGAAACTGTGGACATAATAAGCATATACAGTATGAAATCAACTTTCAATACCATGTACAATAAACAAATGGAATTACACAGGAGGTGAAATTTGTGCTTTTCCATGAATGATCAGTGGCCGTGCAACTTGTTGGCATACAAACATCTGGCAGGTGGTTACTGAGTTCCTATAAAATCTTAGCACTGAAATAAAACAGGAGGTGCCAAGGGCTTTGGAAAAATATTTTGGGTATTGAGAAGCTTATATTTGGAAAGTCTACCCATAAAGGTAGTTTCTGTAAGTTTAGCAGACACACCTTTGACCATTTAGAGAGCTTCCACTGAAACTGAATTTGAGAACTCTGAAAATAAGGGTAGAGTTTTTTAAAAATATTATTATTTTTGGCACAGTATGTATAAATCTAGGAAGTGCTGTTTCTTCCTTAGCACAAAATTAAATGGTGATGACATATTTCCTAGAATTTCATCTATGAAAGCAACATTACCTGTGTGATCCGCTGTTGCTATCCATAATAGGAAATCCATGTCAATTCGTGGGAATTTATCTCACTAATCAAAAAGATGGTTAAAGAAATATTGACCAAATGAAGCATTTCATTTTGAATTTTAGTTACCTTTTAATTACTGATGGGCAAATAAACTACAGCAAATCTTGAGTCCTAAATCCCTATGTCCCCAGAAATCAGTTCTTACCAAAGCTGTCTCCAGACTTTAGTTAATGAAGGCTCAAAAAATGAGGGCTCCTAGTTAAATAGAGTTGGGGGAAAAGTTGTTTTCCAAATCAAATATCGTATTCTAAGGCTGCAAAATCATTCTTATTATTCATATATCTTTCTTTCCACCAAAATGAAGAATAACAAGTTGATTTAACAGTTTCATCAGGTTGGGGCTGGGGATTTAGCTCAGCGGCAAAAAGCGCCTGCCTGGCAAGCGCAAGGTTGTGAGTTCGGTTCCCGGTACCAGAGAAAAACCCCCCCCAAAAAAAGAAAAACAGTTTCATCAGGTTGAATTAAAACTAAAATTCCTCACAGAATCAATAAAACAGCATGGAAAGAACAAACAGCTGTCTATCAATATTTAGCATACATCATGACACTTTATCACATACATGGGCTGTACCATTCTCTTTTATGCTGGCTTTATTAGGAATTTTATTAGGAATTCTACTGTGACTAAACTAAGACTCTTTAATTATACACTAGAAGTAACAGGTGATGAAACATAAAAATTTTTTAAAGTTTCAGTTCATTAAGATAGAGAATTTCCTTATATATGACATTACTTCACTGAACGCTGTACCTTATAACACACTCATTTTTAGTAAATAGGGGTGTTTGGTACCTAATGTACCCTGATGAACTCCTGAGACACACTGCCACTCATGTTGGTGCTACGTGCTATGGTGTGTAGTCCACGACGGGTACCACTGAGATTTTTTTTGAGCTCAGTTATTTTGGCTGTGCTCCATTATCTTTGAAGACTGGCCGGTCATTTGGTCCAATGAACATGTGGACAATTGGCTGTGGCAATGCTAACACCTCAGCTCCCCTGCAGGTTGCTCCAGGGTGTGATTCGGACAGGGGAGATTCCCACCCAGTCCATGCAAGTGTCTGAGGAAACAGGGCCCTGACTGGATTGATGCCTTTGCAGAACATGTGCTGAGCTATCTTTTTGTTATTTTATCATCATTTGGGGGTTGTGTGGGGTTTCTTTGCTTTCCCTTGGGGTATGTGTGAGCCAAGACCTCAGGTTCCTGGGCCATCTGTCAGAACTGTGGGAGAATTAGCCTTTCCTCATGTCCCCTGAAGACGAGCAGAGTACCCCCAGGCTCTGCTTTGAGTCCGCTGAGGCCTCAACAGCTGAAGCGAAGCAGTCCTCCATGAGATGTTCACATCCCCCATGCCCCAAGCCATAGTCTGCATGAAAATGAACAGGTGCAGAGCAAAATGGCAACGAG